ACGCGATTGGATGCACAAACGAATCGATCAATTTCACTTTGTCTTCCAGGAACTCGGTATAATCCCATAATATGGAGACCGCGGGATTCTAGCGCTGCTATTGTTGCATTCAAAACAAGTGGAACGTTCTAAACAATGAGATAAAGAGATATCAGGAATACGTGAGCAGAGTAAACCAATTAAATGCAACCAGTTAAACCACATACTGGGAACTCGTGACTAGAAATTTGATCCTCCAAGGCAGCACCAAAGACAGGACCACGCTGGGTATACTTACTGACGTCAGATGGATCTGTCATCATTGAAGAATATTGAGGCGCTTTCTCACCTCCAGCGTTCTTCTTCTTCACCATGGCGTTTACGACCCCACGCAACTTGGGTAGGAGGAATTTGCATTTGGAAATTTCTTCCGAACTGTGTGCTTTTGCGATGTTATTAACTGAAAGAAGTAAAGTAAAAGCGAACCGTGAAATGTTAAATATTTGAAACTAAAAGACTGAAATGTGGTTGGGGGGAGGGGGGGAGGAGGGGAGTATGATGATTACCTAAAGATGGCTCCATAAGTCGCTTTTCTTCAATGACGTGTTGGCGTAAAGCTGTTGCATGGAGACTTTTGCGAGAACGGAGGGATAGTACTCTCCGACGTGACATAATTTGAGGTGGAACAAGCTTGCACGCTGGCACATTTTCTTTCTCCGATTGAGTTTGATGATCCTGAAAGTAAATCAAGTAGAGTTTAGAGGCCTGATTTTTCAGAAATATACACAGTGAAGCATCTATCCTCATGCGTTAAAGGAGTGTTAGTTTTAAGCAGTAGACAAGACTTACCAATTTATGGGATTCATGTATCAAACCATATGATCCTCTCGACGAGGAGCGGCGTCTACGCCCACCATTCCAAAGAAGAGGTATCGCCTCATTAGAGTCGGCTGACACAGTAGAGTTGAACAGGTTCTCCCTAGCATAGCAAATGAATCGAGGCATCAAGGTTCTGCGTTTGGGCTTTCGTCTTTGTGATTCAGATGACGAGTAGTTATTGAAATCCTGTGTCGTGGAAGGCATGAAAAGAGAAGCAAGCCGGCCGCGAGTAACTTGGTAGTCTTTCGTTGTTGTCGACAGCATTGTGATTTAAAATGAATGAAGTGGCTAAGTTAGAGATGTCCCTTATAAAGACTCACAGTGAACCAATCAGAATTGGGAACATCAAGCAACCAATCACATTGAGCTTTACAAACAGATACAGCCAATCATAGCTAGCATTCTACTTCCTCGTCTTGCTGAATTGATACCCAATAGAATCGTAACCTTTTCCGGCAAACAGAATGCAGCAATAACGTTGGAAAAACAAGACACTGATATTTAATTTACTCCAGCTAAATTATTAAAATTAAAAATAAGATAGGAACGGTGCCTACTTTAAAATCTCATTGGTGCTTCGGCTTTTAATTTGCTTATGATTGGAGTTCATTTCTAATGTTCGGTAGAATCCCTAAAGTTACAAAAGGAGAATGACTTTAACAACTATATGAATTCGCTTGTTGTCAACAATTTATTTTAACTGTTTCTTCTTCTAACTCTTGTCTTTTGTGAGTTAGTGCTTTGTGCTAGCCTACTTCACTCATATTCTCAGCATTCAGGTGCACATTTTACACGTTTCATTATTTGATAAAAGGTCACGTGGCCTCTATTTGGCCAGTATTTGGAAATTATTACACTTACCCAAGTCAAATTGTTGGCAGCAGGAGAAAGCAAAATGATATATTGCATACTATTCGAGGATCACAAGATTCCTCTAAACACATCTTTAAAGTGTCCCAAAAAAATTCATATTACACAAAATTATTTCTGCTCTACTCAGTTCACTTATGCTTCAAATTGCACTCTATTTGAAACTGCAGAGTCCCCTCACTTAGTATAAATTGCAATTTTATGATTTTTGGATATTCACCTTTTCGGTATAACCAAGCTACGCTATTTTCTCCATCAAAAGAAGCCAACTAGTTGAGGTAGTTAATTCAACTTCCGAATTGATAATTCCGCATATGAGGAGTAAAATCTGATCGTTTGAATTATAGGACTTAACTCATGAAATAAGAGGAAATAAAAGAAACATATAGTTAAAGGGAATTTAAATGGCCTCTAACAGCTTCAACTTTTAGTTCTACTCAGCTCACCCCTCCCACTCATCCCACCTCACCTTAATGAACCATTCCAGTATTCATTAATGAGATTGCTGTTTAAGGGTTTAAAGTAGTAGTTTTCGCTTTTCAATCCCAAACTTTCTCATTTATTAATATCGAATGGCATGCTCCACGATAGTAATTATTAACCTTCCACTTGATTTCAGGCTTAACAGAGGTGAGGAACATCAAAGTCACAAAACGTGGAGAGATGGAGGGAAGAGTGATTCACAGATGTGAAGAGACAGGTGAACACAGAGGTAAAGAAGGGGGAGGGTGAGTACTGCGGAAGTGGTCGAATATGACATACAATGGGGTCATGGTAGTTTGAAGTGGAAAGTGAACAAGCGGTTTGTAGGCTTTTTGCTGCAAGATTTTACCTTCCCCAGAGTGCACAACGTGGCAGTAAGTATAACACGCGTCCAGCCCCCCCCCCCTTCCCCTCCATCCCCTCTTTCACCCTCCCCTCCCCTCTTCCCTCCCCCATCCCTCAACAAAACACCCCAGAACTGATAAAAATTCTTCCAATATGTCAAAATTATTCCATGATTCAATTAGTAGTTAAAGCTTACATGTACGAAGTGGAGTGAAACGAGCACAATTAAAAGTTGTCAGTCCAAAGAATGTTTGAATTTACTCTTCAGTAAAGAGTTAACGAAAAGGCTAATCGAAAAGGCTACTTTACAACTCTCCATAACTGAAGGCATTAGGATAATCCCCAATTCAACCCCCAAACTATCATGAAATTGGTTATCTATTTGCAAACCAATGGTTAAATTACGTTAAAATAAAGTGCTGACAATTAGAGGATGAAAGCATTGTTGATACTCATTGTAAGCCTATTTTCAATGCTTGATATTACACAATCAATGCCAATCAATTAGGGAACAACTTGTTTTTAAATTAACTCCCATCTCAAAGTACTGCTTTGTAAATAAAATGAATTTTTGCCCTTTTGAAAAGGAGCATTAGAAATCACGAAGTTGTCCCACACACACGTCCACATTCACATCCGCCAGCCTGTTTAAATAATTCGATGAGTAGATAGCAAGATAGGAGATAGTAGATAGCAATTCGAAGCTGCAATAATTCAACTCCAGTACAGGAAGGCACTTCCTTTTCATTAATTTTGGCTGAAATATTCATTTTCACTGCCTCCCCGACCCAACTTACTCGAAATGCAATAAAATATAAACTTAGTCTGCACACTACTTGAATTTCTTTACCATGTCACAAAACCTTTATTCATGTCTGAAGCAAATGATATTGGTCTAACGTTTTCTAATAGCCCATTCGCTGTCTGCATGCTTTAAAAGAGGAACGTTCTTCACGCCGAAGTGGGCAGCAAATGGGAAGATTCCAACGTAATCGACTGGTCGATTCAAGGGTGCCACAAATCTTACGAAGAACGTGAAGTGGGTGGTCGAAATTGCTTCCTTCTTCTGTCAGTACGACGTAAGACAATAGTCTAGAGCTTTTGTACCACTTAGAATATATTTAATATAGAAGACGAATGACCTAAACAAATACCCAAAAGAACTACATTTGTTCTCACTTTGAATTTTCGTGTAATTTCAAACAAGAAAGTGAGCACCAATGTTCGCATAGCATTACACGATTTTTCCATCTTGAAATTTTTCTTAGGCAGCTGTTAAAACTTGTTCTCTTGAGGTCACTCAAGCAAGTACAAGATCGTAACCGGTAAAATTTTTGAGATTTTCATATTACGAATACTGTCTCTACCATCGATTTTTTTGCAAATAAGATTAATAACAAAGTGTTATAAATTAGATTTCACTTTTAGACACGATATGCGAAGCAGCGACATGATATATGTTTTTTTTTTCAACTATTTAATTACGAATTGAATAATGCATCAATGAACAAAAGTCAGTTGAATTTAATATTCATGCCTTTTGTTTCATGTGAGGTATAAATAGAAATATTGAATATGTTTGAAAAATGGATACATTTTTAGAATATATCTAAGCCATACGCCCACTTATTCCACCATGATAGAAAATTAAATCAACTATTTCTTGTGTATACCTTATCTGAGGGAACTTCTCCTTAAATAAATAGGCAAACCTTTCACTTGTGTAAATAAAAGTTTATTTTAATTTTTTAATCACCATAATCCAGTGGTTTTCTTTTACTCTTACAAGACGCGAACTGTGTAGGATGTGCAGACCGTAAGCAACCGGACCTAAACAATACGTTTCCTTTTCACGATAGCCTCGACGAAACTGATTCTAACCAACTTGGAAATCCATTTTAACGGACCTTTGAACTAAATTGTACTAAACCAATTGGCATTCAATTGATATTGTCCTTGCTTGGTATTCTCTGTCCCTGGAGTCATATTTTGTTGGTCAATGAACAAAGTAATCCTTGGGTTTGCCCGCTGATTTAAAGCGATGATGTTTTATAATTCATTGAAAAATAAGCTAGGCATTTATAGCGATGCTATAATTCCTTGTTATTTCACGATACGCTAATAATTTAGCTTTCTTTTTAGAAAATGTAAAACCTATTATTAAAAGAAAATTGAAAAATTTAAATTGAATATTCTCAAATATCTTGACATTTCAGTCTCTTTATAGTCTGCCAATAATAAGAAAGTCGCTTAATATTATTTTGATAATAGTTGATTAGAACTATAAAGAATAGTAATTTAAATTATAAATAATATACAAAATAATTTAATGGAAGTTATTTTGAAATGTGCATTTTTTAAATAATTATATAATTAGAAGATACAAGGAACGATAATTTTTCAAATTTGAAGGTCAGTGTTAGGCTATTCAACTTTTTTCTTGAATGGCCAGCAATAACCCCGTTTATTATCCTTCAAATAATGTTGAACAAACCAAAACAGTTAAACGTGCCAGGAGCAATGACGATTTCTCCTGCCCAGCATTGGAAATTTCATTAGTTGATCCGATGTGGGAAGCGATAGATCCTACACCTGATATCCGTCAACTCTTCATAGATTTTGATACGCAATTTTTCGGAGGCAAACTTAAGTCAGTAGAGATCCGATGGAGTAAACGAATGACTCTTTGTGCAGGTGTGTGCAGTTATGAAGGCATCGGAGGACTTTGCTCAATTCGTTTAAGTGAACCACTTCTGAAATTACGACCGCGAAGAGATCTTGTAGAAACCCTTTTAGTAGGTTTGCAGATTTTATTAGATTACTTATTGTCTAGCACGAAATGATTCATGCATACTTATTCGTGACGAGAAATTTTCGTGATCGCTCTGATCATGGTCCTAAATTTCAATACCACATGAAGCGTATCAACAGTTGTGCTGGAACCAATATAACAGTAAGTTAATCGAATTGAAAGAGCATATGCGTAGATATTCCACAGTTTTCACGATGAAGTTGACAACTATAGGCAACACTGGTGGCAATGTAATGGTGTATGTGCGAAAAGACCACCATTCTACGGACTTCTCAAACGGTCCACTAATCGACCGCCTGGTCCTAACGATCTTTGGTGGAGTGACCATCAAGCATCCTGTAACGGTAGTGTCGCTAAATTTTAAATTTGGGTGGTTATTTTGTCGCATTTTATTATGTATCCTTTTAATTCAGGACAATTTATCAAAGTCAATGAGCCTGCTGATTACAAAAATAAACAAAAGAAGTCTAAAGTGAAAAATAATTTTATCGACCCAACTTTCCGAAAATCTACCTCATCCCTCGGTTGGTTTTTTTGGATTTTCAAATTTTGTTTGTCTCCTTTAGTGCTTTTAAATTTTATGCTTATATTACGTTCCCCTTTCCTGGAGCTGATTGCTTCGTTTTTTAAAGACTTGAGAGGCTTCATGTAAATTAAGATTGTGCGGGTTTCTGCTTGTCCTATGGTTGTCGTTCATTACCTTAAGTACCTCGAATCTTTGCTGTAAATGAGAGTAAGTAACGGACTCAAAGCAGATTCATAAATAGGTAATAACTGTATTACGTAGATATTTGGATTCAGGTTACTTATATTCGTGCTAACTGGTCTCGGTGATACTTTTATTTTTGAAAACATCATGGGCTGTAAGCATATCATGAAATACATTAAATATTATTGTCTGTGGCAATTCTCGATTTACGAGTATTTGTAAATGCTAAAGCACATTTTATCTTTTAGATATCCGAAAATTTGTAACGACTTCCTCTCCTTTATCATCTGCAGGAAAGGTGACTAATCTCTCGCAGCCGTGTTCCTCCAAAGTTTACTCTCTTGAAACTCAAATTGCATCTTCTTCCTTATCGTTATCCGACTGTCCCGTTTGTGGAGAGAGCTTTCCTTTGGAGTGTATGAACGATCACCTTGACAATGTGCATTTCATCTAAGCATATTTTATAATCCTACTTTTGTATATTATAATATTCTCTTGTTGGTCTTCTCTCACTTTAGTTTGTCGCTACATCGCGATAGCGATCTTCTAGGAGAGAAATGTGATTCATGGCTGTTAGTGGATGCCATAGGTTTGTGTGGATTTACATAGGGGGGGGGGGGGGGGGGGGGGGGAGGTTGAAAACAACCTAGCAACATGAATCTTGAGGACAAGGGAGTTTCAAATGTCGAAACGAACAGACTCAGAATAACAGTTGTTTAGGAAGTAAAGTTAGTAATTTCGATCATTATAAACGTGCGGTAGGTTTATAAATAAGGCTATACCAGACTCCTAAGACGGACCCAACAATGGCGGAGAAGCGCCACTCCAAATCTTCTCTAAACGCGACGTCCAGTCATTGAAATTTTCAAGCTACCCCTTCAGTTGTTTCTACTTCACCGTTTGGAAGCCCTACTGTTTAACATTTGTCGAGTCACAAATTTTAGATTAGATCTTTCTTTGCGAATGGAGCGGCTTTGGCAACTAAAGCAATAGCGGTGAGCTATATGCTGTGTGAGCTTTCCCGAAAGGGCGGGGTTCTTGCACTCACCACAGTTAGAAATAGCCTATTGTTGAACTACCTTATTTATGAAAACTAAGTTCTCGTTTCTCCTACCGTCTGGGCCATTCATTACATGCCACACTGATTTGAGGTACTTATAACCTGTTCAAATCATCCAAGTACATGGTTTCTGGCGAATGTGCTGAAACTTACGCGAACCTTCGAGTAATATATAGTAAAACGATGAAAATTTTCATAATGTAACCCAATGAATGGTTTTGAATAGAAGAAAGTTATTCATTCAAGTTAAATGTGGAAACCACATCGCCGACTGCAGAAATTGTTTATTATACATCTTCAAAATTTACAAATCGAGAACTCAATTAGAAAATTAAATTCGCCACTTGGCCTCAACCTCATCTGTTCGGAATCTCTGCGTGACAATCGTTTCAGCAAGAGGGGTTGTCATCCCAACATGAAACATCTCCCAACCGGCTTGTGCGATCATTGCGCCATTGTCAATACAATATCGGTCGTCTGTGGCACAGAGGGTCGCTCCACGTTCCTCTGCCATACACTTCATCATCTCTTGTAGTCGCATGTTACATCCCACTCCACCGACAATCAGTACTTCCTATAAATAAACACAAATATCATATAATAAATAGGAGCGTTGCTTAACCCACCTTCGTGTCGCAATGAGCCATAGCACGTTCTGTGATTTCCACAACCATAGCAAAAACCGTCTCTTGAAGGGAAAAACAGAAGTCAGCTTGAGTGTATTCACCTGTTCGGAGGAGCTTAGGAGCGCGTTCTTTGAGGTAGGATAAAATGCCAGCGAAGGAGACATCCATTCCTTTGACAGCATAAGGGAGTTCATAGAACTTGATTCCCTTCTTGGCTGCCTGTTCAATGTTGTAGCCTGGGCTTGGATCATTGGAGAGATTAATAACGCGGGCGAATCTAAAGCAAAAAGCATACTTTTTTGAACCACCACGTATCGTAGTCAATCACTCAAATATTAGGAAGTAAAAATCGAAAACGAGAGTAGAACATCATAACATTGGCGATTCTCAAGAATCGCAGATTTACAAGTGTCATATCCCTACCAAACAGTCATTGATTGCAGCACACAGCGATAGGATAACGAGTTTCCCTTAACGGTGGTCTCAGGACACCTGCACTCTATCCTAGTCAAGTATGGCGAAATTTTCCCAATAAGAGTTTGGAGAATTTAAAAGTCGCCAAATTTTGACGTTGATGGAGTAGCAACTAATGACTGGTAGCTAATACTGGCAAAGGAAATTTCTAAAAGCCAAAGATAAAGGGTATTGAAGACCAAAGTGTGTAAAAGACACGATTATGCTCCAAGGGAGTAAAAGAGAGAAGCGGGAAGTGTAGGAGCCGGTAAACAGCAAGCATGTGCCAATGTGCTTATAGAAGGGCCAAAGTAGCTTATTCCAACAATGGAGGTAAGCTACTGGAGGACATATAGGGGACTTGCTGTTGCAAATGGGTCAAACAATTCAAGCGCAACTGTGAAGTCGAAATAATTAGGTGAGAGACAGTAGAAATGAGCAAGATAAAAAAATTGGGAAAATCCAAGGGGTTTATGCTTAAAATAAAAGCATTCATCCTCGATAATACTGCAATCGAGAGATCTGGAGAGGGGGGGGGCATAGAAATGCACATAGAGGACACTAATAACAAGTTGAAGATATTTCGGAATGGGCAAGAGAAAGTGCTTAGGAACTTCCTTAGAGCCTTGAAATAATTAATTTAGGTGGCCTCTCGGTTAATTCCATACAGTGTTTTTCTACTAAAAGCGTTATAACCTTATTAATGCCCCCCCCCCCTCCACAAATTCTTATAAAAATACGAGTAAAGGTACGTGTTACTACAAAACTACCGAAGGCAATGACACTGAAATTTAGCACATTTTAACAACTGTTTTAATTTTAAGTAGTATAAAATCGTGTGCTTTTCTTGGATAAAAATTAGCATATACAACTACCGGCAAAAGCTGTTTCTACATACGTAGAAGTATTAGACCCACTTTAAATCTACTTCATCTTCTTAAGCATTCAAATTAATGATCAGGCCGGAGTTGCGATGGGTCTCAAAAGGTTCAGGAGTCTAAGGTGGAGGAAGATCACATGAGTCCAGATAAATCACTACTGGATCCATTTTCAGTTCGGAAGAAGAGTTAGGAAACGAGAACGAAGTTGGTTACGATTGCGCACTCAGATTTGGGTACATGAGATGTTGTTAGGTAACTCAAGTGTAAAAGGAATAAGATTCTCTGCCACTGCCTTTCCCATGTCACGAATTGTTTTTTCACATTATCAAAGAGTTGCACAACCTGATCATGGGGATATTTTGGCTACAACAAAAATTTTACTACGTCCTGAATGGCGATTACCTATCATTTGTCACAGACTTGATATGTATAACCTCAGACTACTCTTGATATACTCACCAAAAAAAGAGGTTACTCAAAGGGGCCCAGCCTTATTGGTAAGATCTAAGGCAAAATTACCCATGACAACTAGTCTGAAATTTATTACATTTTAATAAATATGGTAATTTTAGGGATAATTGACAAGTTTTTTTAAAATAAATTTATAGTAAATTTATCAGTAAAGAATCAACGGAATTGAAACTAACTAATAAGAATCAACTCACAATATGAACATGCGTACTTAGATGACAAAATTTGAAAGCAGAGGAAGTGACTCACCTATCGAGACAATTTCCAAGAGCAATATCTAATGTTTCACCAAAGATTCGATAGCGTCCTCCAGAGTAGGCAATGACTTGTGAATTTCCTCCACTGACATAAAGGACAATTGGGGATTGGGCACCTGTCACCAGACGACCCATTTCAATGTGTGCGACGCAGTGATTCACTCCGATCAGGGGCTTATTCCACAATTGGGCCAACACCCGCGCTACTATGGCAACCACCTGAAGGGGTCCACCCATTCCAGGGCCCTGGAACGAAACAAAAGGATTTGATATATTGCATGCTCTCCTTAAACTGATAGTTATGTGCATCCCTATTAGCCAGATAAGTTAGAAACTGAGATATCTAAAAATAAAAGCATGCAACAGGGCTGGCATGTATGAATTTTTAGATTATTATGAGTTAGAGCTTTAAAAATGGCAAGATTGGAGATTTACTAGGATAGACAGTCAACGATAAGACCAAGTCAAGGAAGAAATGACTTAAAGGAGATAAATTTTCAGAAAATATTTACTTTATTCTGCATAATAGAGATATTTAGGCGTATAATTTGATCTCACCTTAGGGAATTTAGGTTAAAGCTTTATTTAATGGACTTTTATCAAATAATATACTGCTAATCTATTAATATTAATCTGGTTCTCACATCTGCAATACGGCTTGAACAAATAATTTGAGACAATTTGAAGGACACTTTAGTAAATTATCAGCAATTAGCTCGAAACTATTGCCAAGTAGAAAGATTCGGAAGGACACAGTTATCGATCTGTTAATACAAGTAGAGGAAGTTTAAAATGAAATTTCATTAACCAATATTTACAGAATATACCATTCTACCATGAGTAGTTTATTTGGAATGAGAATTCAATTAAATATTACGGTTCTGATATGGTTACAATGAAGTGTAAAATCTTTCCTCGTTAGCCCAAAAAGTGCAGTTGAGTCATTTGTCCTCAGCAATTCAATTTTGCTATTAATGGAATGTTTTTAGTAAATGAAAGCAACTAAGTAAAAATAATTTTTAAAATCACCAAATATTGGACATTTAGTTATGGCCAATACATATTCAAGGAATGTTATTCGATTGCACAATCTTTAAAATAAAACAATAGCTCTTTACTGTTCCGTGCTAAATCATTCATTTAGGACGATTATATATGCATAAAAGTATATCGGCATTGTGAAATCCTAGTAACTAAGGCTTAGATTAATAACTAACCTTGGTATAAGCAATGGCGTCTAGGTCATCTGGTTTAATATTAGCTTCAAGCAGTGACCTTCTTGCCAATTTCACAACATGGTTACGATGATGAATTGCAGTTTCAGTGGGCTTGAAACCCAGACCCGGAGGGGTCACATAGGTCAAACGGGGATTGGATAAAACCTTACCGTCACGTATCACTCCAATTCCCAACTTGTTTGCGCTGCCTTCCATACCTAATATAGTCACTGGTTTGACGGTAGGCATGCTAGCTAAAAAGGAACGGCACAAAATTCACACAGTTACACATCAAGACAAAACTGGTTAAGAAATCTAACAAGCATAGGAACATATATTGCATTTAGACGGTACATAAATTAGCAGAATATAAAGCTAAATAAAATGACAATTAGTGCTTATGACGAGTGCTTTTTCGCGAAGCAGATGAAGAAAAAGCAGTTTTAGGTGAAACTGACGTCGTTGGAGGTGGCATCGATTTATCCCTCTCTAGAGCGGTATTTCTAACAGATTTCCGAATTCGTTTAGCGGATACAGGTACGGCAATATTAGTTACTGAGGAAGGAGATGAAGAAGGTGAATGTGTGGTAGGGCATGGTGGATTATCGTCCAGAAGCTTGCTTGTAGGCTCTATTACATAAAAATTGTTCATTATTAAACGGTATCAAGCAAATTACCAGGGTTAAACTTTGCTTTAAGAGAAATTTGCAGGTTAGGTTCATATCTAGGGAATTCTTTTGATCTAATAGGGCTAAAATAGCCGGGGAGTGAAAATTCGCATGGTTTTTCAGAGTAAGGGACACATTCATTCTCGTTCTAAAACAATAAGAGAATTAACTTCTGAGAGCTGACACATACAATCAATTCTATGTTATAAAGTTCCTTTATCCGCTTCCAGATATCCGAAATTGAATAAGATAATTTTGTTTCGTTCTGCAACTTATAAGCCAAACAGCACATCTGAAAATTCCTGTCTCTACCAGCCGGTTTATATGTCATAATTGCCATAAATAAATATATTTCTTCGTCCAAAGTCCACCCCATATCCTATAATGTGGATGAAGTAACGATAATTAATCAATCAAATCCGTACTACGTATTTAAGTAAGTCAAACAAAACAGCACATCATCATTTTTCATGCATTAGATGACAGGTTAATTCTAATTAAAATCCGATAGTACTTGAATTATATTTGCAGTCTTTTGCTAAGCTTAAATATGTAGGTAATATATATCAAATATAGATTAATTCAAATTTAAAATAGCATCCGCCGTCAAAATGTGTACTTATTAAATAACATTTCAGCGGTTAAATGCCTTTTGGCACTGATTTAAAATATTTTTATTATGCTCTACTGCATCAACAAAAGGCGCATGTAGAAAATATGGGCTTCATATATTATTGTTTTAATTGTTATAAAATCCAAAGCTACTATATTATTAAAATTAATTAAGTTTTACTTAATATCTCCATGTAAAACTATTTTCATCGGTTGAAAGACATCTTATTCCCTTAGTTTGCATTTACGTCATAATAATGTCATTCACTCCTTCCATTTGGTCAACTAATACATCTCTGTTCTCCATTTAATACTATATTCCATACCGTTATTCAAATAAGTTAGGAGACACAGAAATTTGAGACCAAAGGTTATGGCATTTATTTTAAAGCATTTTTTAAATGTTCTCTTGCATAATATTTCGCCATTATATTTCATTTATCTCCACCTGTGTTTATCAACTAATTTATTAGGGTATCTTTTAAAGCTCACTTCTTTGACGTTATTCTCATGAGAACTCAGGTAATTCGACATATTAAGTCTTATAATTTATATCAAAAGATTAATTGGTAAACCCATATGTACGTGAACAGTTTCATCAACTTCAAACTTCCTCTTATTTGGAAGCTGATGACTCGCGTTTTACGTATTCTTTGAAATTCCTTCTTAACTTGCCTTTGCACTTCAATTGCATTTTCTCACTTTCAGAAGTGCTTCAGATTAACTTTTCTTCCTTCAAAGCTAAATATTTCTGCCGTTCTTGTGTGCAGGGGTTGAATTTACAATCAAACTCAAACAATTAAGTTACGGACTATTTATAATTACTTAAAATGTAGTGAAATGTAATAAAAAGTATTAAAATGAAACTTGTCAATATTTTACATACTTGAAAAAGTGAAATAATAATGAACGGCATATATTTTTGATTATTTTAAGTATATGTGTAAATATATATATATAATTTTGTAGTACTAATATAGATTAGTTTTAACAATAAGAGCCGACTCATTTATTTTGTTTGTTAATCGTAAATAATAATATAACTATCGAAATTATGAAAATATGCTACACTTTCAAAATATTTTGAAGACAATATATTTTTCATAAAATGAACTATTTTGTTCTTTTTTATTAAATACGCTGTTAGAAACTGTAAACTATTTGAAATTCACCTTGGTAAAGGCTTAAATATTCGTTGACTTTAAGTCATCACTCCAATGTAAATAGCTATTCCCTATTTGTAAAACTTAGATGCTATCATAAAATGTTTCACTTCATGTTGCATTCATTTACTGAATGACTGATTAGAATTAATGCAAATTTCAAGTTAACTTTTCAATGATTGTAATCGTTGAATAAGAGACGAAAAATTCATCTTATTAAATGTAAGTACAAAATAAATCTAACTTTTCAGACATCCTTCTTAGATTAACTAGAAAAAGCACGACCCATATTAACAAAAAATAAAATAAGCTTTGTTTCAGCTCAAATATATCAATAACGTAATCACCCATATAAAATTAATTTTTGGAAAATTCATTGCTAATAAAAATCTTAAAGTAGCATCTGTTAAATATAAAGGCGGTAAATTCACATCAGATTAAATTAAATTTTGATCAAAATTTAAAGAACATTTTGACGGAAAATCAATTAGTTTACAACGAATAACGTTTGTCATTATTAAAAGACTCATAATAAATTTGTAATTAACAAAATTATTGATATCCAAATTGTAAAAGGTCAATATCAAACAATTCCAGAGTTTCGGTAATAACCAATAATATCAAAACCGACTATTAATGGCGCAATTAAACCAACAACCGTTTATAGCACATGTATTAAATGTTAACAAACAAGGCATCAACCGCTAACATAAATAAATTCCATTCATGAATTCCTCAAACTCAAATAAATGTAAAAGAGCAAATGAAGAAACAAGCATTATAGTCAGCACTAAATTTATCCAACTATACCTCCGTCATACCAAATGATGAAATGAAGTTGAAGCTAAACTAGATCATAATACGAAAAAGTGGTAATTAAAAGGGGCTATATAAATTACCATAATAACTAATTTCAAAGCATAAAAATGAAAATATTAAAGCACCCAAAGCAAAAATAATCAGAACCCAGAAATATGACTAAAACTGCTGCATATAACATAAAGTTACTAAGCATATTTAATAATACATTTAGTAATATTTATATGCCTTTCACTTTAATATAAATGTGTAAAACCAGCAAAAGATGCATCTCAAACTAATCAAATCCACAATCGCATTCAACTTCACCTCCACTTCGCTAAATTCTAAAATTTCTCGCCAATCTTCATCATATATAAAATACACCTCTACCCAATGGATCAAAAATAGCAAACCAAATAATAACATGTTTATAGTTGCCACTAACACAGTAAATAAACACCATTAGTAAATTTTACAACCACGACTATAACTAAAGGTGTTATACGATGTATAAATGAAGTTTACAGAGCTTTCATCAGTACAAAAGAGAGAATCAATAATAAAGTGGGTTAAATTAAGGTAAGATAAACAGGAAAATTTCAGATACCACTACTAGAGTAACAAACGGTGAAGAAAAATATATTAATAATGTATATAATAATAATAAGTGAAGTAATATTACATGTAGCGGATTGCTAAACTAGTAAAATCTGGCTGATTCAGAAATATCTGTGGCCGATTCCCTCGCGTAGGAGAACAGACTAAAGCAGCCATGTGATTGGAGGGGAAAATCTAGCCAATTCATTGGCTCAAGGCGGAGGCGGTGGAGGAGGAATGTGATTGGATGTTGTAAAGCGCGACATGTGGTGAAGTAGTATATAAGGCGGTGGTTGGGTGGGGCGCAAGCATAGACGGAGTCGTGGTTCTCGTGGTTCTTGCTGTTGTTCTTTTTCTGCTACTGCTTTCTATTGGCTAACAATGTCTGGACGTGGTAAAGGTGGCAAAGGTTTGGGAAAGGGAGGAGCAAAGCGTCACAGGAAGGTGTTGCGTGATAACATTCAGGGTATCACCAAGCCAGCTATCCGACGTCTGGCTCGTCGTGGTGGTGTGAAGCGCATCTCCGGTCTCATCTACGAGGAGACTCGTGGTGTGCTCAAGGTCTTCCTTGAGAACGTGATCCGCGATGCCGTGACTTATACCGAGCACGCGAAGCGCAAGACCGTCACCGCTATGGATGTT